ACATCGATGTTAAAACCAGTTTATTGTTTATTCTGATTCATTGTCAGTATTTAATCATTATTTATTTATTTATTTATTTTTAAAGATTTTATTTATTTATTTGACAGAGAGAGAGATCACAAGTAGGCAGAGAGGAAGGCAGAGAGAGAGAGAGAGGGAAACAGACTCCCTGCTGAGCAGAGAGACCCATGCGAGGCTCCATCCCAGGACCCTGGGATCATGACCTGAGCCGCAGGCAGAGGCTTAACCCACTGAGCCACCCAGGTGCCCATGTTTAATTATTATTTTTTAAATTGTTTTTTGATCTGGAATGGGTAGTGACTATTAGAGTATTTCTTCTTTTCTCCATTTAAATACACACACACACACACACACACACACACACACACGGAGTATAAAGATTGCTGTAGATCCATTTAAACTATCATCTTGGAAAAAATTAATTTTGATGTTACTTCATGTCAGCTGCAGAGATCAATTCCAGATAGACTGTAGACCTAAATGTAGAGGCTAAAACTATAAAATTGCTAGGAGAATATGCAGAATGTTTTTCTGAATTTAAGGTTGTCAAAAAGTAGAGAACAAAAAGTGTTAACTTTTATAACAGAAGAAAAAAATGAATCAGTTGGATAATACTAAAATATAAAACTTATTTTCTTTGAAAGACTCCACTAAGAGAATGAAAGGCAAGTCATAAAGCAGAAGAAAATATTTAATACATACGTCTTTGATTTCAGAATATGTAAATAATTCTTATATATCAATGAGAAAACAATAGTAACCCAATAGGAAAATGAGCAAAAGATGAACTGGCATTGAAAACAATATTCATGTATCTATTATCCATTTGGATAGAAACTCAAACCCATATGTAACCAGTGAAATTCAAACTAAAATGGTTAAGAGATTACCAGTAGAGTGTTTCTCATTCCCAGCACCAAGTGTGGGAAGGATGTGGAATAAGTCCATATAGCACTGTTAGTGGTAAACATGTTGGAAAACTTAACTACCAATATCTACTAAAGTTGAACATATGCATACCAATATCTACTAAAGTTGAACATATGCATAGACTATGGCCTGGAAGTTCCACTCTAGTTATATACCTGTCAGAAAAATGTGATACATTCTTGAGAAAACAAGTTCAGGAATGTCCCTGCATGCACCTTAAACACTGTTGTCTATCAACATTACAGTGGATAAAGAAACCTGTGTTATACTCACACAGTGGAATTAAGCCATGGAAATGAATGAATGTTAACAAGATGTATCAAAAAAGATAAATCTTACAAATATAGTATTTGAGCAAAAGAGGGCTAACACAGAAGAGTACATTTTATCTGAGTTCATTTATATAAAGTACTGAAACAGTCAAAATTACTCTGTGATGATAACAGGATAGTGATTCCTTTGGTATGAGGGAAGGTGATGTGCCTGGAAAGTGCATGAAGGGTAGTGTTTCTGGGATACCGGTAAGTATTCTATTTCTAGATCTGAATGGTGATTACATGGGAGGTTTACTTTGTAAAAATTCATTCAACTCCAGACTTATTTGTCTGTATTTTTGAATGTATGTTTTACATACATTTACATATAGGTAAAATATTTATAAAATCAAACAAAAATAATGCAGCTATAATATAGGATATTTGGCTGTCTCATCATTTTATTGGGTGAGTAGAGAAGTTGTGAGAACATTGTAGTGAAAAAAATTTACTGAATGTAAGTACCATGATTTTATAAATATCATTCATAAAGAATTTTAGGATAATGGTCTCACTTAAAATGGTGGTAAGGGAAGAATCAAACTAAAGGCAGCATCATGTAGTGGTTAAAAGCACAGACTGAAGCCTTATTACCTGATTCAGATCCTGGTTTTGTAATTTTTACTACCTGTGTAACCTTGATTAAGTTACTTAGTACTTCACACCTTAAGTTAATTTCTGTTGCCTTCCTCATCTATAAAATAGGGATAATAGCACAAACCTCATAACATTATAAGTTAATATACATAAAACACTTAGAACAATGCCTGGCACATGATAATGGTATGTGTTTATTTAAGTAAAAAGTTAAAAGTACTGTTTCAAAATACACATTTTAAAATGTTGTTTTGGTCTTTTCAGAGAGCTATTATATTAGTGCTGTTATAACACACTGGGTCATTATTGTTTGCCTATCAGCCTTCTTCACTACACTAATCTAGGGTAGGATACTTATTTTATGTCTTTATTTTTAACACTTACTGCTATTTAATATTTTGCCACCTCTGACAAGTATTTCCAAAAGTGAAAAGCTGTATTTCAAAGCACTTAAGTTTTCTGCATCAGTTTATATATACATATATGTATATAATTATAATAATATATATAAGTATATATAATAATTCTAAGTTTTATATATATATATAATTTAGGATTTCTTGTGTATATAAAATAATGTTCATATTTCATGTAAACTATTTAAGGATTGGTATGGAAAATGTAGGAAATGAAATCTGAGTAGCAAATCTAGTTTTATCCATACTGTTCCTACTCTATAGAACTCTTGTGTGTTTTAAATTTCTTGTACAACTTCATGTAAAATATAAGTATCTTTGAAGTCTGTAGGCTTATTTGCCATTCTGTATTCTTTTTATAGTTGTCACATCATAAACTCTATGACATAGTGATAGAATTTGGGTTTTTGGGCTATTTTTAATATTTATTTGTTATTCTAATTTATTAATTAACATATAATATATTATTAGTTTCAGATGTACAGGTCTGTCATTCATCAACCTTATATAATACCCAGTGCTTATTGTGTCACCTGCCCTCCTTAATGTCCATCACCCAGTTACCCCATCCTTTTGCCCCTCTCCCCTCCAGCAACCCTCAGTTTATTTCCTGTGATTAAGAGTCTCTTATGGTTTGTCTCCCTTTCTTGTTTCATTTTGTTTTATTTTTTCCTCTCTTTCCCTATGATCCTCTCTTTTATTTCTTAAATTCCACATATGAGTGAGATCATATAAGTCTTTCTCTGATTGACTTATTTCACTTAGCATAATATCCTCTAGTTCCATGATAGAATTTTTAGAAGCCATAAATATTGGACAGAAATTAAGAAAAAAGTCATTTTGTTTACCCACTTATTTACTTTCTGTTATTTATTCTGTCTTGAAGATTTCAGTTTATATTAAGTGTTGTTAAAGCCTCAGCCAAAGGCAGAGGCTTTAACCCAACTGAGCCACCCAGACATTCCGAGTTAACTTTTATTTTTGAAGTATATTTTCACCAGATACAGAATTCTAGGTTGAAATTCTTTTTCTTTCAGCACTTTAAGAATGTTCAGTTTTTTGGGCCCCCTGGGTGGCTCAGTGGGTTAAAGCCTCTGCCTTTGGCTCAGATCATGATCCCAGGGTCCTGGAATCGAGCCCCACCTTGGGCTCTCTGCTCAGCGGGGAGCCTGCTTCCTCCTCTCTCTCTCTGTCTGCCTCTCTGCCTACTTGTGATCTCTGTCTGTCAAATAAATAAATAAAAAATTTAAAAAACTGTTCAGTTTTTTCATGGACTTCATTGTTTCTGATGAGAAGCTGGTGATAATTTTTATTGTTACAACATTGTATGTAATGTGTCATTTTTCTCTAGATGCTTTTTAACATTTTCTTTCTCCCTCTTTTTCTCTCTCTTTTAAATTGTAGTTTGACTATGATGTGTGTAGTGTGAGTTTCTTTGCATTTATTTTCTTAGTGTCTTCTGGCCTTCTTGAATTTGTAAATGTATATCTTTCATTAAATTTGGAAACTTTTTGCCATTATTTCTTCCAGTAGTTTTACTCTATTTCCCTCTTTTTTTTTTTTCCTTTTTCTTGGGACTCTATATGTATGTTGTGTATATTTTATATATATATATATATGTCTTTTGCTATTGTTCCATAGGTTTTTGAAGCTGTTTATTTTTTCAATTTTTTTCTCTGCCCTTTGGATTGTATATGTTAATAAAACATATCTGTACATTTTACTTTACTTTATGCTTTACTTTACTTTATTTGTACATTTACAGGCATCTCCAGTCTGCCCTTCTGTTCTTTCAATGAATTTTTAAAAGTTCTAAGTATAGAATTTCTGTTTTTTTCTTTTTATAATTTCTGTTTCTCTGCTGAGATTTTTTCATTCTCACTGGAAACATAGTTTCCCATTTGTCCTTTAACATAGCTATAGTCATTTTAAAATGGTTGTGTGCTACTTCCAGTGTCTTAGTTCTTCTTAGGGTCAGTCCCTATTTATTGCTCTTTCTCTTGATTATGGATTACAGTTTCTTGTTTGTTTGCATCTAGTAATTTTGGAGTGCATCTTGGACAATGTAAATAGTCTGTGGTAGAAACCCTGTATTCTATTATGTTCTTCTGAAGGGGCTTTATTTATTTTTTTAACAACAAGTAATTAACTTGACTATTCTCAAATTCCCATTTCCCTCTGTGGTGGAGAGCAACTGAGTTCTTTTAAGCTTAGTTGAGCTGCTTCAAGTTGGCTCCATATGTGTATAATTCAAGGTCAGCTAAGCATTTGGACAGTTTATACATACATCACTCAATGACTCTCTCCTTTTCTGTGATTTCTGAGACTCTTCCCAGCTGTTGTGTTCACTGCAAATACTGCCTTCTGGTTTTTCAAGGCAGGAAGACAATAGATTTTCTGTATTTTTGTTCCCGTTTTTGGTACCACTGGGCTGTCCCTCATTATGTATTAAAAATAAAAAACTTGGAAACTTATGTAATGCTGTTTACTTTTTCTAAGTGTATCACACCCCCTACCCTCTCTTATTCCCTGCTTTTGTCTGTCTGTACTGCCTTCAGAGTTGTGTTTTGTTTTTGTTTTTGTCCAGAGTTTATAGTTATATGTGGGGGGAGAGGGTGTTGTTTTAATAGGAACAACTTGACCATTACTAGAAGCCAAAGCGAAGATTTAAATTTAAATGAAGATCCTTTACTCTAATGTTTTATCTTCTTTGTAATCTTAGGTACCCTCTTAGTGGTATGATTTTACCAACTTTTAAAGACTGGATCCAAAATACCCTTGGAGTAAGTCTGGAGCATAAAACTACCTCTAAAGTAAGCAAATAAGAATGATGACTAGTATGTTTAAGTCTGTGTGGGTGTGGCTGTGTGTGCATGGACATGTGTTTAATCCCAAATCAGTTAGATTTATCTTTGTAATTTGTTATAATTGCTTTAATGCATTTGTTGTAATTTTGTTTGTTTTTTTTGTTAAGAAGTTTACTGGTTTTATTGGCCTTGCTAGGTTTTCTAGGGATGACTTTTTAGCATCACAGATCTAGATCCCAATCTCAAAATTTATCTGAGATTTGTCTGGTAAACTTTTTATCTTCTCTGAGCCTTAGGTATCCTAATTTGAAAAATGAGAGCAATAACTATCCATTCTACCTTTCATAGGGTGGTAGTAAAATGCACATGAACTAATTCTGTGGGAGGACTGTTACAAAAATATTATCAGTTGCTATTAATTTTAGGATATTTAATGAACTGACAGTAATCCAGGATTAATATAGAATAATTTGAAATAAATGTAATTTTACATTTAATATCAAAACATTTAGAATATTAGAAGACTTATGAAAAAATAAAAATTTGATTAAGATATGAGTGATGATTTTAGTTCATGTAGTTTCACTTTTCTTAAGCTAGGGTTAAAAAACTTTAAACTGTATTCATATAAACTAACAAAATAGCATTTCTTTATGGTTTTTATTATTTATTATTTGCTATGAGATGGTATTCTGCATGTCCCTCTAACTGGATATAAGTTCTGTAAGTGCAGGGACTGTGGCTTATACTATATTCTCTACTGTATCCAACAAGTTATTAAGGACTTAAATATGCAGCTACTGCTTGTTTGATTTATTTCTAAATCCACAGTTATATTTTATTCTACTAAGTAAATTATGTTAACAGCTAATTTTTACCCCTCCTAAACCAAATTCTTTCAACTTTTCTTAAAAGATCTTTTTTTATTTCCTTAATTATTTCTTTTGTTATTTTTTGTAGTTATTTTTTTTTTACATTGATGCAATCCGTATACCATATTCGGAAATTTCACCAGTTTTACATGCATTTTTTTCTGATTTTGAGCCCTTTTCAATTTTTAACAACAAAATAGTAATATGTATGTTTTGTTGGGGTCCTTATGGCCATTTCTTTTCACCATAGCATAAATTCCTTGAGGTCAAGATTTTTTTACCTGATTATCTCACTGCTGTATCCCCAAGGCCTAGAACACTGCCAAGTATATAACACACACTCAATAAATATTTCTCATATAATTGAATATTAAATACAGACCCTTTAATAAGATACTAACAATATGTAAATATCATATATATATTTTTTACACATTCTTATATTTTCTTTTTTCCAAATACTATAGCATAGCTTTTTCTTTTCTTTTTCTTTTTTTTTTAATAGCAGGTTTGATTTGGTCAGCCTCTTCTTACATATAAGAAGAGGCTGCCTATATATATGGTAGGCAGGTTTTTGGTGCTTTTCATAAAAGTTATGACATTTAACCTTTCTTCTTTATGGTAGTTGTATACATTTAGTGGTGATAATCTCATTTAATAGATGAAGAAGCCAGGGTCCAGAAAAGTTGTGACTTCCCTGGTGTTGCATAACTTTAAAGTTAAAGATTTTTTCCCCCAGCTTACCTCTTAGTTGAAATTAAGTATCAAATTATAATGTTACAAGTTTTAAAGCAGTTCTGTGAAAATGGACCTGTTACTTATTATGAAGTTTCTTGTTGATCATTTTAAAATAATAATTGAACTATAAGAAATGGTAAATTTTATCTACAGGTTAAAATGTAGATGATGAAAAAAGTTAGCTTTCCCCCAGTTTCCTTGATCTAAAATGAGAGATTTGAGACTTTGCCATCTTCTCTGTTCTTGATTGCAGTCTTCAGAAACAATGAAAAAGTGGGGCATAGATGCAAAAGAGGAAACATATGGCTTCTATAACTTATGTTACAGAATGTGATTAACTGGACCATTTATAATTTGTTATTGTCACAGAGTTGGTTTCCATATGTGTTACTTGGTATTTTCTCATGCTTTTGTCTCAATTCAGATATTAAAAATTTACATTTTATGGTCACTGTCCTAACCAGATATTCAGAATTTATTTTCCAGAAATAAGTTAAAGAAACCAATTTTATTTTCTAGGCATCCTTAAATCCTAGTGATACACCTCCTTCTATTGTAAATGAAGATTTTCTTCATGACCTTAAAGAGACTAATATTTCATATTCACAAGAAGCAGATGATCGAGTATTTAGAGCTCATGGTAAGCAACCTTATAGAAGCACTATTTGATTTTAATTTTAAAATTTCCTATAATTTAAGATGTTTTTACATATTCTTTTTTAAATTGCAAAACAGGTCATTGTCTTCATGAGATATTTTTGCTCAGGGAAGGAATGTTTCAGCGAATTCCTGATATAGTTTTATGGCCAAGTAAGTTCTTCTTTTCTTTGTGTCATTAATTTAGTATTGTGAAATCTTAAGTAAATTTAGTATTGAAAATATGTACTTTTGAACATAGGAGTTGTAAAAAGTACAGGTAGCTGTACTTTTAAAGTTTACCAAAAGTCATATAATTCTTTCTTGATCTGAGCATCCTGAACTATTGGTTTTCATGACTGATCTTGCTGATGACTAAGTTTTCATTTTAAATGTTAATATATTGGGAGGTCAGTTAAAAAAATGTATTTCTGGTTAGTTTGAAAGCTTAATGAAATTAGTATCAATCAATGATATATTCAGAGGTAGAGAAATTCTTAACTATTAATTCCTGCAAATTTTTTGTAGTAATTTGTTGATATCAGCTTGTGGCCTAAAAAACATTATGTCCAAATGATGAAACAAATTGTTTAAGATACTCATTGTCTTTAATATAAATAATTAAATTCTGGGGCGCCTGGGTGGCTCAGTGGGTTAAAGCCTCTGCCTTCGGCTCAGGTCATGATCTCGGGGTCCTGGGATCGAGCCCCACATTGGGCTCTCTGCTCAGCAGGGAGCCTGCTTCCTCTCTCTCTGCCTGCCTCTCTGCCTGCTTATGATCTCTGTCTGTCAAATAAATAAATAAAATCTTTAAAAAAAATAATAATTAAATTCTGAAAAATTAATATCATTCATGATTTTGGCTCGAGAAAGAGGATGGATGAGCTTTATGTTGTTATTTTGCTCTTGCTGATGATTAGACAGTATATTTGTATGATTTTTATATCTGTCTCTTAGTAGAAAATTTAAAGCAGAATTGGTATAGTGTACCTTACTGTCCATAATTACCATTTAAAAAAAGTTCCAGTGGTATGATCCTTTTTCCTCTTTAGATTCTATTAAAGGAGTAGATGGAGCATTTTATTTTTCAGAAGTTGGCTTATCTGTTTTTAGATGTGATCCTTTTACTTTACAGGGAGTATCTGAAGGAGAAAAATCATACTTTAATATAGATGTAGGAGGGAGGTGACATACATAGGAGGAAAATCCAAGAGCATGTGTAGCTGAGATTAAATTACTGTCTTGATACTTATGGTATATATTCTCCCAGTATTTTAGTAGCTTTAGGCTACTTCTTTACCAAGATTTGGGGAGGATTTATTTCCATTTTTTTACTGGAAAAAATGAAAGCAAAAATCTGTCCCATTTGGCAGTTCCCTTAAAACGTGGTCCTTTTTATTTTTTTCTTTTCATTTTCCATAGGAAGCTTTAATAGACCATCTTTTGATGATGTATCTTGAGTAGAACTTTCAAGCATGCCTTCTAGGTATTTTCTTCATGTGTCTGACTATTAAAATACTGAGAAATTACCATAATGAAAATGTAGGTCTTGCTTTAGGAAATACAAATATTTCAAAAAATCCAGATTTAGGAAACATGATTTAGGAATCCAGATTTAGGAAACAATTTAGTCTATTGTTGCATAAAAGTTTTCTTTGTTCTGTGAAATCTGTCCCATTTGGCAGTTCCCTTAAAATGTTGTCCTTTTTATTTTTTTCTGTATCAGTTTTCAAATCAGGCCCTTATCAACACGTAGATGGATTTTTCTTAATAGCCTGTAAGGTTCTCTCTCATGCTTCAAGTTTCTTGTTCCCTCCAACCGTCCCATATACTCTTGAGAGATTAGTTTTTCTAAAATACTCTCTTTACCATCATGTTCTGTACCTCAGGAATCTATATAAATAGTATAAAGATGCCTGAAGTAAGTTTATAATTTTATTCTGTTGAATCTTTCAGTATAATGACTTCTTAGAAATAGTTCCCCCCTCAGCAGGTTATCAGATCTCTGAGGCCTTTATTTAACTTTAATGTAAATTTTCTGTTGGTGATAAAGTTTGGGTTTTTTCTTTGAATGAGGGCAAGTTTTGAGACAGTGTGGTATGCCATAGAGTGGAGGCGGCTATCTTATCCTACAGTTTGAACACACACACATACACACACACACACACACACTCCCCATATGGATACACATACCTAGGAGATCTATCCTTGTGGATGTCTTTAAGTCTGGCTATAATTTGAATCTGAATTATATATTTGCTTTAATTGGATGTCTAGGACTTATCTAAGCATAAGAACTTGTAATATATGTAATTTTTATGATTTGGACTCATCCTTAAACGAGGATTTGTCACCATTGTGACCCTTAACACAGTGTGAATATCTCTGCCTTTCACTTAGTTTGGACAAATAGTCACTCATTTATGTTGTCTGTGGTTAAGTATGCTTATAAAAATAAAGTCTCCCTTAACAATTACATATTTTTAAATCATTTCACTTATTAAACTTAGTATTTATGCATTATTTTTAACTGTCTAAATACCAAAACTTTAGGCCTGTGAAAATATGTGCTAGGAACTGTTCCAGGTATTAAGGATGAGCTGTGAACAAAACAAAAATCTGTTCTCAGGTGCCATGCAATTTAGTGAGGAAGGAGACAGGAAAAAGAGAAATGAATGTATAATGTATTGAGCGGGGATAAGTGCTGTGAAGAAAAGGCACAGTAGGAAAATAGAGAGCTGTATAGGTGAGCAGTGGGATGAGGGAGTGCTATGTCAGATAGTGTGGTTGAAGAAAGCTTTTGATTAGGTGACAGTCCTAGAAGTAGTTTAGTCTTGTTAAAGGATTTTTGTTTGGGTATTTTATTAGTTATTAATCAACTGGTATTCCACTTAGTAAAAAATTTTACCACACATAGTAATTTTTATAAGCTTAATCTGAAAGCTTAAAGTGGATTTTTATTAAAAATTGGAATGACACAGGGCGCCTGGGTGGCTCAGTGGGTTAAAGCCTCTGTCTTCAGCTTAGGTCATGATCTCAGAGTCCTGGGATCGAGCCCCGGTCTGTGGTCGGTGGTCGGGCTCTCTGCTCAGCGGGGAGCTTGCTTCCCCCCCGCCCTTCTCTCTCTGCCTGCCTCTCTGCCTACTTGTGATCTCTCTCTCTGTCAAATAAATAAATAAAACATTTTAAAAAAATTGGAATGACACAAATGACATATTCCTAGTTTTAAACAAACCTGAGAAATGATAATTCTTATAGAACAATATTTTTACTTTCATTAATGGATATTGTTATGCCTGAGTTTTTGCGTCCAAGAGACCACCAAGGAGCCAAGCACCGACGCAATCACACGAGGGTTTATTTGACAAGCTTAAGCTTGGGCCCAAGTATACCCGACACAGCGGAGTAGGGACTTGGACCCCGAGCCAGATTACAGTCAGAGTTTTTAAAGGCAGAGTAGGGGTGGACTCGGTGGTGGGTGAGGACAAAGGGGGTTATTGATGATGTAAGTCTCTAAGGAATTTTGGAAGCGAGGTCTCCAGGGCCTTGAGCGGCTAGCTGTTGTCTGGGGAAAAGGTTATTCATTACCAATAATAAAAATCTTCTTGTGAGACCCTTTAGATGTATATCAGTGGGTCATATGCTTGGAAATGATCGCTAACACTATCTTGGAGGTTTAGAGATAAAGTTTCACATTTCTCCTATCAAGTGTCCTTGTTAGTGAGATTTAGGTTTAGAAGAAATTTAACTTTATTTACATTTCCTTCTGCCTCAGCCTCCTTCAGTTTTATGGTGGGGAGGGCGACATTAGGGCTTAAGGAACTGAGTTATTTGCCTCTGGAAATTGTGCTATTGTTAAGATAGCTTCTTTGTTGTAAATCTCTAGGACATTGGTAAACCAAAGGAGACTTCTGTCTTGCAGGATTGTGATCTCTGCAAATAAACTATTTGCTTTTCTTTTAGGGCAGCCAGGGTGGCTGAGGAATGTCACACATACTACCAAGGGGAGGGGAGCGGGTGGAGAGGGGGTGCAAGGTGCCAGCCTCCGCTTTGCCAAGATGGCTGTACTTATGTCAGGGCTAGACTCGAGGTGGGTACAGCCTTGTTTTTCTTGGCCCCCACAGATACTCACTTGTATGTTTTACATCCTTAATTTCCCTTTCAAGCTCTTAGCAGGTAATACTTGATTTTTGCATTGTTTCCTTGCATCAAGTCTTTTTCTCTTCTTTGCCATGCCATATTAAATGGAGAAAGATTTATCTTTCTCAGATAGTTTCTTTGCCATGTTGGTCCCTGACTTAATGCTCTATTGCTAGTCAAATTGAGGTTTAGCATCTTGTGTCTTGTATCTAAGATCTTCTGTTGTCAGGTTTTTGTTACTCATATAACTTTTACTCTGATAAAGAGTACTCTTTAGTTGTGTACAATAGAAAGGAATATATGTAGTACATTATTTATAGCATTTTAAAAATTGCTTAAAAAACAGTAGAGAATCAACGGCTACAAAAATTAGTGGGTGAAAGTATGATGAGAAACATATTTATATAGAGTAACTATCTCCCCACAAGATACTTATTATAGTGTTCTTATAGTAAACCTAGCTGATACTTTATAACCAAAGGATGAAAGTTAACATTACCAGAAATGAGACCTGGCTGTATCACGTGCCTCCAGATGTTACTCAGTAAGAAAGGCACAACATCACTTCTGTGGAATTCCTGCCGAGATGTGTAACCTGAATTTAATGATGAGGCAGAAACCCAAATTGGCAGATACTCTATGCCATAACTGACCAGTGCTTTTCAAAAGTGTCAGGGCCATGAAAATAAAAAATAGACTGAGGAACTCTCTCAGATTAAAGAAGAGTAAGGAGAGGTCCCTGGGTGGCTTAGTCAGTTAAGTGTGTGTCTTCTGTTCAGTTCAAGATCCCAGGGTCCTGGGACTGAGCCCCACATCAGGCTCCTTGCTCTGCCTGCAGCTCCCACTGCTTGTGCACACTTTCTCTCTCTCTCTCTCTCTGTCAGATAAATAAAATCTTTCAAAACAAAATATAAGGAAGAGTAAGGAAACATGACAACTACATACAGTGTGTGATTGGCTGGTGCAGAAAAAAGGGGACATTAGTGGAACAATAGGCAAAATTTGAATAAGGCCTATGTATTAGTTAATAGTATTGTGTAATAGTAAATTGTTTGATTTTGATAATTGAAAATATAAGATGTTAATATTTGTGGCTACTGGATGAAGAAAATTCTTTGTCCCTTTTTGTAAGTATGAAATCATTTAAAAGTAAAAAGTTAAAAAGATAAATAGTAAACATTTTGTTTTAATATAGCTGTTTAATGTGTGTTAACGAGTGAATAAAGAAAGAAAAAGTTTATACACTAAAGAACTTCATGGACCTTTACTTTGCAGGGTTACCCAGATTTTGTTCATATCCCTGTGATTAATTTATTTTTCTTTTTTTTTTTCAACAGCATGTCATGATGATGTAGTTAAGATTGTGAATCTAGCATGCAAATATAACCTTTGTATCATACCAATTGGTGGTAGGTATTGTGCCTTTTAAATTTTAATATGGTAAATGTGTTTTTTATTTTTATTTAAATTATTTGTATTCTAAATATTGGTATCATCCCATGGAAAGCAAACATTCTTGTAATTATGATATGATTATTCTGAAAAAAATTTTTTATGCTCATTTTTGAGTAGATCTATCACCTAGACTGTTTGAAACATGTTGTTCATGGGTTCTTTGCCATATAGATCCCAATTCACACTGTGACTTAATGCTTAAATACGAAAATGTTCCCACCTTAGTAATTATTTTATAACCTTTTTCTTTATGGAGAGAACGTTATTTTTCAGAGGCTAAATATATCCAATATATACTTTTGAGAAGGAACCCTATGCAGTGTGAAAGATCAACTAGGACAATGATGACCAGATCAGTAATACATTTTAATGTTGAAAACTAACATTGCTTTGCATTTTAAGACAAATTTGCCTTTAAGACAAATTTGATCTCTTGATCGTTTATCAGCCACATTCTAATAACCTATACAAGCCAAAGGAAATTGACTTCACTGATTCACTTAGCTTTGATGAAACAGAAGTGGGACCCCAAACAGATCGGCTCCAGATTCCTTCTTCAGCTGATACTTTTAATTCATGAAAAACAAAAAAGGCACTACAGTGCTGCTTTTAGTGAAATATTTTTCTGATTTCAAATGACTGTGACAAGCAAATAGTATTTACTAATTACAGGCATGCTCTTAATTGACAGTTCACAGTCTCACCTTGTAAAAGTAAACTGAATATAGTAGGTCACCACCTCCTGTAATTCTTACTCGTATCAAGAGTTTTTTTTATCCAAGACACATGGAAATACCAATTAAGAATTTACTCTGGTATATGGTAAGACAGATGGTTAAGGACTAAACGCAGTATGATTTTATGTTGGTATCAAGAAAACATTTTTCCTTTGATAGCAAATGTTAATGGGAAAAAGGAGTACATTGGTTATATACTTGTATATATTTATTCTATATTAAAATCACCTTTTCATCATCAACATATATATTTGTTTGAATATAATATAATCTGGGCAATTTTAACTTGCTTATATTCTAATTTATTAAAGTCTTTTTTGTATGACAATATAAGATATTTCAAATGATAAATGAATTTTATAATTAAGGTAAGGTGTCTTTAGTTGAATTAGGAAGTATTTTTTCTTTTAAGCAATATCTCCAGAGTAATCATTAGCTTAGAATTTTTCTAATCATGTTTTTGGAGTTTCACAAATTGCTAGGGGCGTCACTTGAGTGTGCCCAGGGGATGGAGCCATATCCCATTGCTTTCAGCTCCATAATATTTCTTCATTTTGGCATGCAGCATAAAATAAAGGTGAGTTTGCTTTTAGTGTGTTAGCATTTGCAAATTACATTTTGCAAAGTAGAAATAGGTATTACTTTTCTAGTGGGCCTGTTTGTATACTTTGTATTAGGGATTTGCCCTAGAAATGTAGCTAAAAAATAAAATATTAAAATTGTTTTCTATTTTGGCAGGAGGAACAAGTGTATCATATGGCCTAATGTGTCCTGCAGATGAGACAAGAACAATTATTTCTTTGGACACTTCACAAATGGTATATGATATTTTCAGACATATTTGAAGATAGTGTTTGCTTTAAAAAAAACTCTTATGGCTCAGTCTTAGTTGTCATTAAAAAGGTATATTTTGGTACATTTTGTTTTTAAATTTATTTTATCATTGTATTTTACCATTGTCTTCAGGTCTCAGAAAGCTAAGTTCACTCACACTCAGGTATATATCTTCGTAATTTCTACCAAATTGGCCTGAGAAATTGATAATTTGAGAAGCATGGGTTGGAATATTGGTACAATAGATGACCTGATTTGTATTGTTAAAAGCAAAACAATATTATTACTTAAGGTTGATTTGAAACACCAAGACTTATCCCCCAAATTTTCAATGCTTTTGCACTTTTGCTTCTGGAAGAATGGAGAGCAAACTAATTTTAATCATAGGATTGTTTTGTGACCTTATGGCTCGCTATGGTCCAAGAGTTGGACATTGTGCCATGTTAAAGCTTTGATTTGGAAATGAACTTAAACTTTATATAGTCAACAATATTTGTGGTTGCATATGCCTTCATTACTATAAAAAGTTTAAGATTTATTTATTATTTATTTTATTAATTTGAAATTTTTTTCAAACACTGAAGTAGAGACAATAGTATATCTGTTTTCTAGATTAAGTAATTATTGACATTTTTTTATCATATTGGCTTTATATTTCTTTGTCTCTTGACTATTTAATTTTTAAATTTTTATTTAAATTCAGTTAATCAACATATAATGTATTATTAGTTTCAGAGGTAGAGGTCAGTGATTCATCAGTCTTATGTAATACCTAGTGCTCACTACATCACATCCCCTCCTTAATTTCCATCACCCAGTTACCCCGTCCCCCTACCCCCTTCCCTCCAGGAATCCTCAGTTTGTTTCCTATGATTAAGAGTCTCTTATGGGTTGTCTCCCTCTCTGATTAAGTCTTGTTCTGTTTTTTCTTCTCTTCCCCTGTGATCCTCTGTTTCTTAAATTCCACATATGAGTGAGATATTATGATAATTATCTTTCTCTGTTGATTTATTTGGCTTAGCATAATACCCTCTTGTTCCATCCATGTCGTTGCAAATGGCAAGATTTCTTTTTCTTGATGGCTGAGTAGTATTCCATTGTATATATATTTGATATCTTCTTTATCTATTCATCTGTCAGTGGACATCTGGGCTCTTTCCATAGTTTGGCTATTGTAGACATTGTTGCTATAAACATTGGGGTGCACGTGCCCCTTCAGATCACTACATTTGTACTTTTGATAGTAGTGCAATTGCTGGGTCATAGGGTAGCTCTATTTTCAGCTTTTTGAGGAAGCTCCGTGCTCTTCTCCAGAGGGGCTGTACCAGTTGGCATTCCCACCAACAGTGTAAGAGGGTGTTTTTTTCTCTGCATCCTCACCAACATTTGTTGTTTCCTGACTTGTTAATTTTAGCCATTCTGATTGGTGTGAGGTGGTATCTTGTGGTTTTGATTTGTTTTTTTTTGATGCAAAGAGATGTTGAGCATTCCTTCATGTGTTGGCCATTTGTTTATCTTCTTTGGAGAAATGTCTGTTCATATGTTCTGCCTGTTTCTTGATTGGATTATTTGGGTTTTTTTGGGTGTTGAGTTTGATTAAGTTCATTAATAGATTTTGGATACTAGCCCCTTATCTGATGAGACATTTCCAGATATATTCTCTCATTCTGTCAGTTGTCTTTTGGTTTTGTCGACTATTTCCATTTCTGTGCAGAAGCTTTTTATCTTGGTGAAGTCCCAATAGTGCATTTTTGCCTTTGTTTCTCTTGCCTTTGGAGACGTGTCTAGCAAGAAGTTGCTGCAGCCAAGGTGACAGAGGTTGCTGCCTATGTTCTTCTCTAGGATTTTGATGGATTCCTGTCTCACATTTAGATTTCTCCTCCATTTTGAGTCTTTTTGTGTATGGTATAAGAAAATGGTCCAGTTTCATTTTTCTGCATGTGGCTTGTCTAATTTTTTCAACACATTTGTTGAAGAGACTGCCCTTTTCCCATTGGATATTTTTTCCTGCTTTGTTGAAGATTAGTTGACCATAGAGTTGAGATCTATTTCTGGGTTCTCTCTTGTGTTCCAGTGATCAATGTGTCTGTTTTTGTGCCAGTACCATACAGTCTTGATGATTACAGCTCTGTAATAGAGCTTGAAGTCCGACATTGTGATGCCACCAGCTTTGGTTTTCTTCTTCAACATTCCTTTGGCTACTCGGGGTCTTTTCTGGTTCTATACAAATTTTAGGATTATTAGTTCCAGCTCTGTGAAAAAAGTTGATGGTATTTTGATAGGGATTGCATTGAATGTATAGATTGCTCTAGATAGCATAGACATTTTGACAATATTTGATCTTACAATCCATGAGCATAGAACATTTTTCCATTTCTTTGTGTCTTCCTCAACTTCTTTCATGAGTGTTCTATTTTTTTCCTGAGTACAGATTCTTTGCCTTTTTGGTTAGATTTATTCCTTGGTATCCTATGGTTTTTGGTGCAATTGTAAATGAATCAACTCCTTACTAACTCCTTACTATCTGTTTCTTCTAATTCTTAATGTATAAAAATGCAGCTGATTTCTGTGCATTGATTTTATATCCTGCCACTCTGCTGAATTGCTGTATGAGTTCTAGCAGTTTTGGGGTGGAGTCTTGGGTCTTCCCCATAGAGTAGCATGACATTTGCAAAGAGTAAGAGTTTGACTTCTTTGATAATCGGATGCCTTTTATTTCTTTTTGCTGTCTGATTGCTGAGGCTAGGACTTCTAGTCCTATGTTGAACAACAGTGGTGATAGTGGACGTCCTTGCTGTGTTCCTGACCTTAGGGGAAGCTCTCAGTTTTTCTCCATTGAGAATGATATTCACTGTGGGCTTTTCGTATATGGTTTTTATGATATTGAAGTACGTTCCCTCTATCCATACACTATGAAGTTTTAATCAAGAAAGGGTGCTATACTTTGTCAAATGCTTTTTCTGCATCTACTGAGTATCATATGGTTTTTGTTCTTTCTTTTATCAATGTAGTGTATCACACTGATTAATTTGCAGATGTTGGACCATCCTTGCAGTCCAGGAATAAATCTCACTTGGTTGTGGTGAATAATCCTTTTAATGTACTGTTGGATCCTATTGGCTAGTATCTTGGTGAGAATTTTGGCATCCATGTTTATCAGGGTTATTAGTCTGTAATTGTCCTTCTTGGTGGGGTCTTTGTCTGGTGTTGGGATCAAGGTAGTGCTGGCCTCATAGAACAAGTTTAGAAGTTTTCCTTCCCTTTCTGTTTTTTTAAACAGCTTCAGAAGAATACATATTAATTCTTCTTTAAATGTTTGGTAGCACTCCCCTGGGAAGCCATCCAGCCCTGGACTTCTGTTTGTTGGGAGTTTTTTGATTACGTCTTCCATTTCCTTGCTGGTTATAGGTCTGTTTAGGTTTTCTATTTCTTCCTGTTTTGCTTTTGGTAGTTTATACATCTCTAGAAATGCATCCATTTCTTCCAGATTGACTAATTTGTTGGCATATAGTTGCTCATAATATGTTCTTATAATTGTATTTTTTTGGTGTTTGTTGTGGTCTCTCCTTTTTCATTCATGATTTTATTTACTTGGGTCCTTTCTCTTTTCTTTTCGATAAGTCTGGCCTGGGGTTTAACAATCTTATTAATTCTTTCAGAGAACCAGTTCCTAGTTTTATTTGATCTGTTCTACTGTTCTTTTCATTTCTTTTTTTATGATTTCTGGCCTAATCTTTGTTATTTCTCTTCTCCTGCTGGGTCTAGGCTTTATTTGCTATTTCTCCTTTAGGTGTAGGGTTAGGTTGTGTATTTGAGACCTTTCTTGCTTCTTGAGAAAGGCTTCTATTGCTATATACTTCCCTCTTAGGACCACCTTTGCTGCATCCCAAAGGTTTTTGAATAGTTGTGTTTTCATTTTCTTTTGTTTCCATAAATGTTTTTTCTTTAATTTCCTGGTTGACCCCCTCATTCTTTAGTAGAATGCTCTTTAGCCTCCATGTATTTGAGTTCTTTCCAAATGTCCTCTTATGATTGGGTTCAACTTTGAAAGCACTGTGGTCTGAATATATACAGGAAATGATCCTAGTCTTTTGGTACCAGTTAAGGCCTGATTTGTGACCTAGTATGTGATCTATTCTGGAGGATATTCCATGTACACTTGAGAAGAATGTATATTCTTTTGCTTTCGGATGGAATGTTCTGACTGTATCTGTGAAGCCCATCTGGTCCCGTGTGTCATTTGAAGTCCTTGTTTCCTATTTGATCTTATGCTTACATGATCTGTCTATTGCAGTGAGTGCAGTGAGTATGATACTATTATTGTATTCTTATCAATGTGTTTCTTTAATTTTTTTATTAGTTGCTTTATATAATTGGCTGCTCCCATGTTAGGGGCATAAATATGTATAATTGTTAGATTTTCTTGTTGAATAGATCCTTTAATTCTGATATAGTGTACTTCCTCATCTCTTATTATAGTCTTTAGTTTAAAATCTAATCTGTCTGAGGTAAGGATTGCCACCCCAGCTTTCTTTTGATGTCCATTAGCATGATAAATGGTTTTTCACCCCTCACTTTAAATCGGAAGGTGTCTTTGTGTCTACAATGAGTCTCTTGCAGATAGCTTATCTATGGGTCTTGCTTTTTTTTATCCAATCTTAAACCCTGTATCTTTTGTTTGGGGCATTTAGCCCATTTACATTCAGAGTAACTATTGAAAGATATGAATTTAGTGGCATTGTATTGCCTGTAAAGTAACTTTCTGTATATTGTCTCTGTTCCTTTCTGGTCTGTGTTCCTTTTGGGCTCTTTCTCCACTTAAGGGATCCCTTTTAATATTTCTTCTAGGGCTGGTTTATTGATCACAAATTCTTTTAGTTTCTTTTTGTCTTGGAAGGTTTTTTTTTTTTTTTTTTTTTGTTAAAGATTTTATTTATTTGAGAGAGAAAGAGAGAATAGGAGCAGGTAGAGGCGCAGAGGGAGA